ATCCTTTCTGCATTAATATTGTACATACATGTTTGCTTTGTTATATTTGAGAACTAATTTTTTTTTTAATTTTTTTGGCGCTAAATTTTAAATTTTTAAATTTTTTTTGACTGTAAATTCGACGCCAGATTTGTTTTTTCTGTTGTACAAAGTTGTTTGTTCTCATTCGTACGGGAAAAGGAAATTGTACTATCATGCAATAAACTTCAATTATATGATGTTCGAGCAGTGCAGTACAGTTAAGTTTTGCAAAAAAAAAAAACGGGTTTTTTTGGTATGCAAGTAAATCTACAGAGCTCTTAAAACAAAATAAAGTCAGAAAAGAAAAATGAAAAAATTTGAACACGTAGATTTAACTAATAAAATCATAGGCGATTATAGTGTAGTGGCACAGCCAATACATTCATTTTTGTATAAAACATTTGGAGTTACAAGGTCTCCCAACTGGGGACCGATACAAGCCCTGACAATCGGAACGACACTTCCCATTCAGATGGCTTAAAGCAAGTTTTTTAATACAGCGCTGCATGTTTGCGGCAAAACTAGTAGCTCTGAAGCTTTAGCGAAAAAAAAGGAAGTAGGAATCGTAACGTTGTGATTTAGCCTTTTGAAGAAATTATCGCGCTCGATCTGGTCAAGTAGGTGAAATACAAGAACCCAATCTCTTCACACAACCCACTTCCCTCCCATGCGCCTCACTGTCCCATTTGTTGAAGCTTGATATGCAAAATGTATCATGCTCCTTTACTGTTGCAAGAGGAGTCTGAATAGCCCATAAAGATCTGACGTATTTATATGCCAGTGACTGAAGCCTCACCCAAGTACATTTGTTGAAAGAACCGTTGAATTACTGGAAAAAATTTTCCACGAGCCCGCACGCGGGTACCACGCATACTCGATGTCTGGGTTTGAGCTTGTTAAGGCTTACTTGGACGGGGAACATCTTAAAACTATAGCCTTTTAGCTTTTCAGGCTCTCGAGTTATGAACTTACCCAGAAAAACTTTGGTGAACTAGTGCGTAGGTACCACGCATGACCGAGGGCTGGGTTTGAGCTCATCAAAACTAGTTGGACGGTGAACATCTTGTTAATATTACCGTATTCTAGCATCTCAGATCCCCAAGTTACGAAATTACCCGGGAAAAATTTTGGCGATCCCGTAGTTAAAAATGTTTAAAATAGACAAAACGAACGTCAGGATAGCAATCAATCTGGCCAGCAAGCGGTGTACCACTGCTCGAAGTGGCTGGAAAAGTTTCCAGTTTTATAGCTGTAAAGCTGTACTATGAATGAACAGTTCTTCTGTCTGGAAAGAGCCACGCAGTGGGGACAGAATTCAAGCTAACAGACCTGTACTAAAACATCGGAGCAGCAGTTTTGAGTGAAAATATTGCAAAACCTATTCGAAGAAAACGTTATGCGTTTCCCATTCATCAGGTTAACGAAACTTATCCAGCCTCAGGAGAACAAATATAGTACTGTAAACGTCGGAGGAAGGAAGGCCCCGAGTTGGAATGCAAATCCGAATGTTCTGGTGTTTACACTGGAGTATCACAGTACAGACGTTTATTTTGGGACAAATCGCTATTACAAGTCATTTGATACGGATTCCGCTGTGCTTTTGTTTGTATTCAAAAACGATACCATGAAATAAGCGCTTGATAGGTTTTTTTTTTCAGAATTTTGTTGAAAACTGGCAAAGCATAGGCAAAAGTTTCGATTTTACATAAAATCTTTTGTGTCCAGTGTTGTTAGAGTTATCATTGGTGCGATCAAGTGGTCAGCAACAATTTGCGAGATTCTACTGGTCATTGTCCTGTGAGAAAATCAATTTATTCGGCGGAAAGATATTTGCATATAAATACGCCAAATCTATGGGCTATTCAGATTCCTCTTGCAACAATAAAGCAACATGATACATTTTGTATATTGAGCTTCAACAAATGGGACAGTGAGGTGCATGGGGGAGGGAAGAGGGTTGAGTGAAGAGGGTGGGTTCCTGCACTTCACCTACTTGACCTGGTCGAGCGCGACAATTTCTTCAAAAGGCCAAATTACAACGTTACGAATCCTACTTCCTTTTTTTTTGCTAAAGCTTCAGAGCTACTACTTTTACCGCAGCAGCACTGTATTAACTTAGTTAAAAGCCGGTACGAGGATGCGTTTTTTGCACATTCCTTCGCAGACTTTTTTCGCCAGTGGCACGCTCTTCCGGCAAATGCTTCTAGCTAAAAGAATTGGGACTGGCCACCACGACTATTAGAAATTATTACGGTGACTCCCAATCCATGCCCAAAAAATCCAGCGCTCTGGACACTTGGGTTGCAGAGTTACGTTAAATTCCACGTGTTCGTACTTGAGTGGCAACGTGAATGCTTTCTTCGCTCGCAGTTGCTCAAACGCAGTCCTGGACAACGCTCAGAAAGTTTCAGCACTTCATCTACTCTGGTTGCGGAGTTAGGTCAAATTTCACGTGTGTACACGTGAAACGCACGTGAGACATAAAAGTGATGTGTAAGTCGTTTTTGGTTGTATCTGGTCAAAGGCTACTGTCGGTTATGCTCAGAAAGTCCAAGCCAACTGACTGGTTCAATTTTGATGTTACAAAAGCGCATGCGCGAAATTTCCACGTGTTAGTACTGAAATGCAGAAGAGCTGGCAAGTAATTTACTTTCACGGGCACAACAGTAGGCGGCAATTAAAGCTGCAAAATTGCTGCTTTCTGCAGCTTATTGATCAGTTTAAATCTGGAGTTGGCATGGTGCCAGTTTAAACTTTGACGTGTGCGTATGTAATATCTGAGGGTGCGTGAAGGCCTAATTTGAAATCTTTGGATTAGACGCGGTCAAGAAACATCTCTGTGAAGTTCCAGCCCCCTAGCTTGAGCCGTTCCTGGAAACGCTTTCCCGCCAAAAAACTTTCACGCGCCCCTACGTGAGAAACACGTGTACCTGAGCGTCCATTTTGAGGATACGAGCCCGCACGTATGCTTAGATAAAGTTACTTAATTTTCAGCTTTGTAGATTTTGTGGATCTAAAACTCGTTACAGACGAACACACAGACACGCACACATACACATACAGACAACCCCTCGACAATATGCGTTTTTGCATTGCATAGCTGCAAAAAACGCATAACTTAGTCGAAAGCGTACCGGCTGCCGGTACGAGGATGCGTTTTTTGCACAGTTCCCCCGTAGGCTTTTTTCGCCAATGGCACGTTCTTTCCGGCAGATTCTCCTAGCTAAAAGAATTGTGACAGGCCACCACAACTGTTAGAAATTATTACAGCGACTCCCAATCCATGCACAAAAAATTCAGCGCTCTGGATGCTTCGGTTGCGGAGCTATGCAAGTTTCACGTGTTCGTACGTGAGTAGCAACGTGAGTGTTTTCTTCGCTTGCGACTACTTAAAGACGGTCCTAGCTAGTGCTTAAAAAGTTTCAGTACTCAAGCTACTCTGGTTGTAGAGTTACGTCAAATTTTACATGTTCGTATGTGAATAGCGACGTGAATGCTTTCTTCGCCCGCGATTGCTCAAAGAAGATCCTGGATAACGCTCAGAATGTTTCAGTACTCCAGCTGCTCTGGTTGCAGAGTTGCTTCAAATTTCACGTGTTCTTACGTGAGTAGCAACATGAGTGCTTTCTTTGCCTGCGGTTGTTCAAACACGGTCCTGGTTAGCGCTCAGAAAGTTTCAGCACCCCAACTGCTCTGGTTACAAAGCTACGTCAAATTTCACGTGCTCGTACGCGAGTGGTAAAGTGAGTGCTTTCTTCGCCCGCGGTTGCTCAAACACGGCCCTGGGTAACGCTCAGAAAGTTCCAGCACTCCAGCTGCTCTGGTTGCGGAGTTAGCCAAATTTCACGTATGTACACGTGAAACGTACTTGAGACGTGAAAGTGATGTGTAATTCGTTTTTGCGTGCATCTGGCGAAAGGGCACCATCGGTTATGCTTCAGGACCTCTGGCTGGTTCAATTGTAAAGTTACAAAAGCGCATGCGTGAACGTAAGATGCAGAAGAGCTGACAAGCAATTAACTTTCACGGACACAACAGTGGGCGACAAGTAACGCTGCAGAATCGCAGCTCTCTGCAGCTTATTGATCACCTTAAATTTAGAGTTGGCATGATGCCAGTTTAAACTTTGACGTGGGCGTACGTGAGTCTTGAGGGTGCGTGAAAGCTGAATTTGAAATCTTTGGATTAGACGCGGCCAAGGAACAACTCTGTGAAGTTTCAGCCTCCTAGCATGGGCCGTTCCAGAAAACGCTTTCCCGCCAAAAAAGTTTTCACGCGCCCCCACGTAAGAACCACGCGGACCTGAGCGTCCATTTTGAGGAAACGAGCGCGCACGTATGTATAGATCAGGTCACCAAATTTTCAGCTTTGCAGCTTTTGTGGATCGCGAGATGAAAACTCGTTACAGACGCACACACAGGCAAACATACGCACACATACACACAGGCACACATACACACACAGACAACCCCTCGACAATATGCGTTTCTGCATTGCATAGCTTCAAAAAACACATAAAAAACTTGTTTTAAGCCATCTGAGTGAGAATCTTCGTCCCGATTGTCAGGGCTTGTATCGGTTCCGATTTTGTGATTTTTCA